TTTGTGATATTTGCGCATTTGTGCATTACCGGAATACCACGCCAGGTTACATAAAAGCAATAGCACAAATATGAAAATCCTGAATGTCTTCATTCCTCACAAAATTGACGGAATGTTTGACGTCCTGGATGCACAGATTCCTTGTGAGCTGGATGCTAGTTTGTGACCAGTGAACAACAGAATGACATTTTTGCAGTACCAATTAGGTAGTAAGTGAAAGCAACTGGTGTATATTCTGAGAACCTTCATGATATAAGGTATCAGGGAAGAAATTCAAGAAGTTAGTTTCTGGGAAACTGCAGAATCATACCAACACACAATCCCAGGCTTACATTGTGGGCACTTCAGTGGCCTACAAATGCAGTAGTTTGAGACTGCATTGAGAAAACACTGAAACATTATCATTTTAGAGAAATGGAAACTGCCAGTACCCACGGTGGATGTCTTTTATTGTCAAAGAGTGTTTTAAACGTACACTCTTCAACAATAAAGATGGTATGCATACATCAACCACTAGGACCTGTGTGTGATTCTGTTTTTAGACGGGACCAGCTTCTTCATTTTGGACAAAACAACTGGCGCATTATGTGCATGACAGGCTGAAGACGCCTGCCATATTCATTTCCAAAAGAAACACAACTGACAAGATTCTTGTGCCCAAGCGCCTCAAACATATTCATGTGAACAGCATGAACAGTATCAATAATTTCAGCTTTGCTACATGCTATAACATGGGAAAGCACACGAGAAATTACAAGTCATTTTGATACTTGATTAACGTGAGGATTGACACACCTTAAGAATGGAACCTTGCTCTTCGATTAAGAAAGACGCCAGACTACACACATGTGTCCATTACACATTGCCCCTTTGATGTTGGGCTGTCATCATATACACAAAGAAGCGTCAGAGACACATGTGCTTCCTGAGCATACAGTAATGTGGAGAAAGTAAAAATAAAAGAGTTTCATACAAGTTAGTGTGTCTCCAGCTTCGCGTTGATGTAACACACAAAATGAAGATGAGCTTGTCGGAGTGCATTTCCTTCATTCCAATATGTCACTCATAACAGTCAGTCGTCAGTAACATCTGTTCTTCGTATTCCATGAGGGCAACATTTTACATAAGATCAAGTTCACACTAATGTCCTACTTGGTAACATCCGTGGCGTCATGTATACAGGTGCTTGACTTGCAAAGGCAAAAAGATTAGACCCTTCTACACAGGAATAAAGCAGTGACTCATGTCGATTGCTCAACTCGCTCCATGTATATCGAAACTTAAGAGATAACCATTCCTGCCTCTACGCTCGAACATCATGTGGCACAAGCAATGTGTTGTTATGATTCAGATGTAGTAAGAACAACAATCTCCTCTGTGACCGGTCTGGCTCTCCGGCAGGACCTGTCCATATATAATGAGTATGATACCAGTTTCACTGGTGACCCTAAGACAATTAGACTGCTGTTATCGGCCTGTAGAATTATGCCGAGGATTGGGCAGAAACCGATTATCTGTCTGATCGCCGATAGACGGTGACCAATGAAGCAGACGCAATTGGTTTGGGTCACTTGGCATCTTTCTTTCTCCTCATCGACCCGTTTGAAGAGAAGACCTCGTATCCTATCAACAAATGAGTTCACGGTGAATTGCGCGAACTAAACTGTTTGTTAACTGTCTTGTCTTGAATGACCTGCTCTTTATTACACAGTTGAAAGTTCTTGCATGGAGCTGAATGTACAGCTGATGTAGTCTACGATTTGCATGTTTATAGCCTCATATGAGATCCACGATTTAACACAGGATGTTTCTGCAGTGTAATGTCAAACAAGGTCGTTATACACGATATCATGGTGACGTCTGTCCTTTTGGTTACAGGGAAGCAAAAATAATTATGGATATTCAGCGGTTTTGGGGTTGTGATTGAAAGGCAGAAGCATTGGTGTTCAGTGTTATTATTCATATAGATCCTGATTAGGTATAATTTCCTACACTCGAAAACAACACTACATCGGCAGATTAGGATGTTTGTAAGTTTGACTTTCATTCCATCCAAATGCATATTGTAGTCACAGGATGGTGTGGTACAGACCCATTCATTACCTGGTTTCAATGTACAAAAGCATCACCGGCAAAAACATATCAACCTCATATTTATACATACCTCCTATGTTTCATTGCTGATGTCTTTCATTCCATCCAAATGCATATTGTAGTCACAGGATGGTTTGGTACAGACCCTTTCATTACCTGCTGCCATTCAAATTTCAGACCGGTAGGTACACACACACTCACACACACACACACACACACACACACACATACATACATACATACATACATACATACATACACATACATACATACATACATACATACATACATACATACATACATACATACATACATACATACATACATACATACATACATACAGTACATACATTCATATGAAAAAAGAGCATTGTATCACTTTTGTAACGGTCTGAAATATGATGTGCAGTATATATGCTATGTTTATCACAAGGGTTCAAAACAGCACACTATATCACATCGAACGTGGGAAAATCAATACCTGCCATGTACATGGTGCAAACTAAAACACTGGTCGGAGGATAGGGTTCACCAAAACCTGTCCTGCAGGGACTGGGGATAGAGTTGGCAAGGTTATTTCGTGTCTTCTTCGTGTCACAATTTCCATAAAGATTGTACATGACGTTCAGAAGCGCCAAGTATAGGACGAATGGTATTTGTCATTATTTTCAAGTCTTCTTTTGAAAACGTAAATACTAGAAAAATACATTTAAAGCGTAGCTTCCATGAATCTCGATTGTACAATTTCGATCGGTTAAAAGTGACGAGCTCTACACAGAATAATCTAATTGGTTATTTATGTAGAGCCGCCTAGAAGGTACTACGTGTGCGTCTATCACTTATTACGATACGGAACGCCTAGTAAAAGATGACAGCAAACATTTCATTCGGTGGCACAAACGTATACATTCTAGTACATTTAATGACCGCTCTAAAAGTGCTGATTCTCTACATGGCAACATTACCAATGGGGGATTCTAGTCCTCCTTTTCAGCGTCAAAACAACATTTTTTTCTGACAGAGATATTAACATTCGTCCAATGACAGCAGCCACCTCGTAAATAATATGAATATTCATAATGCATATGACCAAGTGCTGGTCAGCTTATCAGCAAATCATTTAGAATCTTCCCCGATGCCAGCTATGATCATTCTGATCTACTTTCTTCGTACATACTCATTAATCATGCTCCGAATGATGCGAACTTGAAGGATGAATCAAAACGCCAGTGGGGTTTAGGAAGTAGAGCTTCCGGTGTAATTACAGCGGAACTGACGTCACAGTCAGTGTCATTTGTTTGTGGTCAGGTTGACACATGCCAGCCTTTCCAAACAAGAAAAAAATTGTCTTGCGTGTGTTTTGTTTTAAACCTACAGCTGATTAGTGATATTAAAGTAGCTTGCATGTGGATTGGTAAATGAAGGTCCAGGAAATATTCGGAGATCGTCATTTAATACAGAATAACTTGATTCAAAATCAGACAGCAAATTATTTTAAAGATGTTTTAGTTCAAAGTTGCACATTGAGAGCGTTCCACAAGCATCATTGTTTATGATAAAATATGCCCTTGTTTTTTCTCGAAAATGCCTTATTGAATGCTGTCACGTGTTGATTCCCAGGTTGAAACTAGTTCTTTTCATTAGAACATGACTCCATCTTTTGTCTGATGATTACATCCTGACTTGAAGGTGGTACATCTCAATTATAACGCATTCTAGAGTAATCTAGTTGCTTTCGACACCAACTTTAAACATCATCTATCAAGTATAATTTTGAGGGCATCAAGAGCATGCATTAATATATTGGTTAGTCAGCACGAAAACGATGGTATAGTTAACCTAATTTCCAGTGAAAATAACATGTAAAATACTGGAATAAATAGATATTAAATTATTATGCAGCTTTGTTCATTGAAATAAAAGCGACAAAACCATTTCCACATTCATAAGAAATATCTGCTAAAAGGAGAGCCGATTGTACAATTGTGAGTTTTTCATGAGCATGTATTTGTTTCAGCAGTATCACAGCTGTACGATATTGTTTGTAAATAAACAGTCTGGACCAGTGATTGTCACCATGCGAAACAATCACAGAGCATGTGTTTATAAATCACTATGAAATAGTGATGATACCAGGTGTTCGCGAAAAGGTGAGCGTATCCTGCCCCACCGGTGGTACCAATCATAAACATATGGGAGGTCTAGTCAATTCTTCACCTGAAATAATTGGTACAAGTCAAAAAAGGGAATTGCATCAGACATCATTTTTTGTCACTGATGCGTCAAATTTCGATATGTCCTCCATATCTCTGCCATAAAACTGAGGCCTTGAATGTTGTAAACCTTGATCAAACAACTTCTGAACAAGAGTGGTATGACGCTTTTTGAAATCGAGGTGAACAGATTTATTTGATGTATCTCAAAAGTTGTAAAATGTAAACACCAAAGGCTAGAGCTGTTGGAATATTGCTTGACATGAAAGGAAAGTGGACTATTGGAAATTTGAAATCATTCCTTTTGTCAAACAGCCTTGTGGAGTGATTTTTTTGTCATTTTGAATCTTTATGCATAGGTCTAAACATGAAACAGTTGAGGCTGTCTCACGTACCTCCTTAATTTCAAGTTCAAGTGGGTAAATCAGTGGAAGGATATTGAAGTTGAACTTCTTTCCCAAATTACCTATTTTTCATTTTGCCAACCCAAGCAGAAATTCCTATTCATATGCATAAAGGAAATTATCCTCAAAGAGGGGACACAATTGGTGCCCATGTGCATGCTTACTTCTTGTCGAAATATTTACAGAGATGTAATCAATGAGAAAGTTCATTTCACATATTGTTTTCTCGGTCAACGTCAAATGACATTTGCTTTCATTGACAACTTGCATTTGTCCTGAACCTCTGAAGATAGATAATAATGTATCTATATCTGTGTTCTCTACGTTTGTCTACAAATACCCCATGGATCAAGGAACAAAGTTTTTAAACAATATGACAGATGTATCTAATCCTGCTATCCGATCAACGTAGGTCGAATACAGAGTTCCAATCACTCCTTTGAAAACCTGTAAATACAAAATGGAAGCTGACGAGTACTGACCGATTGGGTTTTGTATGGTGACCTATTTGATAGTGATACATGAACACATACTTATAAGAATCCTTTGTTACAATTTTGGAAGTGTTATGTTATTTCTTAGCATTTCCAACCAGTTTTCAAAGTATAAAACTAGAACACTCAATACTTTTTGCCTTTGATATTTTCATTTGATAGCTTGGACAACACGAAACGGATGAGTGATCTGCAGCCTTTAATCCGCCATGTGATAAGGACTGATACCAGTGGTACACAGTAGTTGTCAATGTGCTGTAACATGTATGTTTCAAACAAGCGCACTCCTATGATGTCAGCCCGGGGTGCCGATTGCCAATTATTTAAAAGTAATACGTGTTGTTTCATCAAAATGTGAAAATGTGTATATCACAAAGGGGATGACATTGTGGTGAAGGTTTGCCCAGGGCTTTGCTTTCCAGACCATATTTAGTTCGGAGGGATGTCTCGGTGAACTTGCCAGACGTGAAGTAATGACACATAGACATAGTGTGATGTTGACGGTTGATTACAAACTTATCGTTGGTAATGAATACGAAGCTATGAACATGTTCTTATTTCACCCGAAGTTATCACGAGTGGATTTTTTAGTCCCTGTCCCTCAGTTCTGGACGGCACATATTTGTGTCTGAACAAAAACATATTACATCAATTGGGATTCCACCCTTTAAATCTGTGGTTATTTACATTTCCATTTGTTACTGACAATTTGGAATCAGATGGATCTTTCAAAATATTTAGCCACATTGTATGAGTGAGTGCCTTTATTTTACGCTGCTTTTAGCAAAACATATCACGGTGGGGGGCACCAGAAAGTTGTTTCACAGATAGCACCCATGTGGGGAATCGAACCCAGGTCTTGGGCGTGACAAGCCAACGCTTCATCCACTAGGCTACCCCAGCTATACTGAAAATGAAAATGATAATATTTACGTATATTAGGCTTCTAACTCAATTTTACGAGACTAATCAAAGCGAAAGCCTACGTCACTGGAGTAGTTTATAGCAACGTGTCTTCAAGCATAAACAAAAGTGTGGCTGCTTGCGAATCGACATCAAATGAAAGGAACTACTATCCTGATGACTACACGAGATACTTAGACCGAGACACGTGCAGGGTGAAACGGTATCCGTTCAATGGAAAGTGAAGACAGGCGAAGAAGTTCTATCAATGACCTTGCTGGGTTCAGTACGATGAAGTTTGTCACACGGTGCTTATTATAGCAGCAAATGTTTAAAGGCCAACTCCCTCTGTCAAGTACGAGAGTACGTATGCACTTTTATTATCCGTATGGTGAAACATAACCAGTGTCATATATATCATATGTGCACAAGTGAACATATCACTTTTGCCTAGCAACCATTGTTTCTGTATTTCGTTGTCTGTGACGTCATTAAACAATTGAACGTGACGTCAATGAAAAGGGCAGTCACACATGCTTACCGTGTTTTACTGCAGAAATGTACATGAATAAAATGGATAATAAAGAAATTATTACACTCACAAGTGTGTCACACGACTTATACGAAACTCGTGCAAAATGTGTGTATTGCCCTCGCTCTCGCTCGGGCAATACAAATTTCACACTCGTTTCGTATAAGTCGAATGACATACATGCTCGTGTAATAATTTCTATGTAAGTAACGTATGGATTTTGCATATAAATCGGCTTTCCTAATGGTCACAGACATATGCTTGGAAACATATGCAGTCATGGCATCGGTAATTACAGCAAAGGCTTAACAGTACATGTCCGTGACAATACGTCATGTAAAGTCACAGCATATCAGCTTCATGTATAAAGAAGTACTTTACAGTGGTGCGGGTTTCTGTTTCCGAGCAATAGTTTATGTAATTTTAGTAATTACTTATTGCTCTTTTTCATTTTGCACCACAGTATCGCATTTCATATGCACGTTGTTCATTTTAATGTTCTGTATTTACACACTTAATTGTTCACTTTATGTCTGATTTTTAAGGGCAAGTGAGTTGTAAGTAGAACATTTGCCAACCAATTTGACTTTGTAATTTTTGATAGGTTACGTTTTTGTTAAAAAATATATTCTGGGAGAGAGATGTTTTGGTTGCGAAGACGCATTCCTTTTCATTGTGAATAACGTATATCTAAATCAAACAAACGAAGTGAAGATAAGTTTATTCTGTCATATCAAATACCTCATCTCCGCACACTTGCTCAAACTGACAGGACCATGAATAGCGGGAAATATAGTTATGCCACCAGATGAAGAAGTGAGAATATAATCCCACACGTCGTGTTCCTGGTAATATGCCTCTTTTGAGTAAGCAATGTCAACTTTATGACATTTGTATTCTGTGTAACCTGTGATGCTGCATTCCCAAACAATTTCCTTGCTCCGCCCGTGTACAAAATTCGTAGAATTTGGAGAAAAATAGATGCATTTTCTGAGAATTGTTTTGCACGTTTTATGACATAACTGACGTATACTACTCAAATGTCACACTGCTGTGTCCAAAAGCTCTGTGATCATTAATACTGTATGTTTTTCTATTGCTTGAAATGTTCGGCAGTAAAACATTGGTTCGTGCCGTCTTGGGCTCTGCGTTCCATAATCACAAGGAAATAGGACACAGAGTGCGCAGGGGATATATTTTCGTCACGTAATGTTACCCTATGTGATATTCATTTATTTTACCTAAAAGTCTCATAGAAGGGAATAAACAGTGAGCTCATGTGTTGTGTTAAGTATTCATATGCCATCCAAGAGCTTGTGACAGTTCATGAATGAGGCATACTTTTACACCTGTTACGTTTTCCTATTAATATCACAGAAATAAATACATAGTTCTTATTAGTGAACAATTCGTTTTAATCAGTGTTGAATCATGTGCTCAGTTGCTATAATTTATGTCGTAATAATTCTTCAAAGTGTTATTTAAAACAAATTACTACGAAACAGCGACCAACGAAAGCCAAAGAACGGCACAGCGTTATTACATGTACAAGCTAGGTACTACTCTTTATCGGCACCCGTGAAGAGGCACCTCCTCGTGGTGGGTGCTGTGTAACGCTAAGAGCTCTTCAACCCCCGTTGTGGACCCGGGGGTATATTTGGTCCACCAACCCGTTTGCCGTGGGTTGCGCCCCTGTGTCGGTGGAGGACGGGAGTCGGGTGGTTGAGGGCACTGGTTCCAGGAACAGCGTTCCTTTGCCCAACACACCTTACTTCACCTAGGCGGGTGGTAGAACTGGCCCGGTTCTATCAATCGGCTGGTCATGCTAAGCCCTGTACATGTAAATTTTGCTGTTCAAATTTTAAAAATTATTTAGAAACATTTTGTAATTTGTCTCGGCTTCATGATGATATATTTGTATTTTGACAGTACAACTCCAATTTAGTATTTTGCCTAGAGTCCTATGTCCAGAAGGCAGTGGCTCATGGGCCAATCTGGTGGAATAATTACTTGTTGATTATTCTGCTTGAGTATATCATCGGGGTATCCTTGGTGCTGCAAGTTGGAAATCCACTTGCGATCCCATTGTCTTTATGATACTCCGTGGTGGGTGGGGAGCTCGGATGACGAATCAAACTAAACTCAACATGGCTTACGAAGCCCCAAACAAAAAAACCGAAGCGTCCACTCGATACTGATGACGACGAACAGCGACCCTCAACATCCGTTGATTACTGGCCACGTTTTCTCGTTCTTGAGACTCTTGATAAAACTCAAACCGAAGCCAGATTCTTTGAAGAAACAAAGTGGCAGAGTGGTAAGGGTCAGATGATAACGTCAAATTACTTAACAAATACGGATCACTTGAGGACATGGACGTGTCCGAAAACGTCCATTCTAGGGCACATAGCTTGTCGCCCTCGAAAAAGGTGCGGGGTAGATCCCCCATTAATCCACCTAAAAGATAGGTCTATTTAAACATATCGTGCAGTGGAACTGTAGAGGACTACGGACACATTTTAATGAAATACAGCTATTGATCCAGGATTTAACACCATCAGCGTTCTGTCTGCAAAAGACGTATGTGAAACGGACAGATAATTTTAGCTTACGTCAGTTTGAAGCCTATCATTATTTTTCCCCTCTGGGTGATAGGGCCACTGGAGGTTCTACTATCCTTATACGACAGGATGTTATCCACAGCCCTGTTACACTCAACACTAATCTCCAAGCTGTTGCAGTGCGACTTACTCTGGGTGTAGCATTTACATTATGCTCTCTGTATATTCCGCCTTCATCGGCACTTCAACAGACTGATCTTCAATCACTCTATGATCAACTCCCGAAACCATGTGTTATTATGGGCGACCTAAACGGTCACAACCCACTCTGGCGCAGTACTAATACTAATACTAAAGGCAAAATACTTGAATATTTTATTTCCAATAATGACCTGTGCATATTTAATGATGATTCAAGCACCTATCCGCATCCTGCAACTGGCACTTACTCTTCTCTGGATTTGTCTCTTGCAGATTCTAACCTCCTGAATGAATTTGATTGGTCTGTTCATAATGACCTTTGTGGAAGTGACCACTTCCCAACTATCCTTTCAGAAATAACTCCATCTGATTATCCATGGTATACAAGATGGAACTTTTCGAAGGCTACCTGGTCTTTATATCAAACTATATGTAAATCGAAACTGCGACCTGAATGTTTCAGTGATATAACTGATCCCATTCAAACTTGTGCTGACGTTTTAAGTGAAATAGCTGATGAGTGTATACCAAAGTCTTCTACGACTCCACATGTACGAAAACTATGGTTTAATACAGATTGTAGACAAGCCAGAAAAGCGAGGAAAAAGGCAGAGAGTTCTTTCCGCCATCATCCAACTGTCCATAACTTAAATAAATTTAAAATACTTAATGCAAAGGCGCGTCGTACCTTTAAACAAAACAAACGACAATCTTGGAGAACTTATGTCTCAAAACTTAATTCACGCACGCCAATGTCTAAGGTATGGAACATGGTTCAAAGAATTAAAGGCAAAGATTCAAAATCTGCTGTTCACTATCTTACAGATGGTGATCATTTTATTACTGACAAGTCTAAAATTGCAAATAAAATTGGCGAAACTCTTGCCAAAAATTCATCATCGGCAAATTATGTCACTGAGTTTCAGAGATACCAGAAACAACAGGAAAAGACAAAACTTAATTTCGAATCAAATAACGGAGAAGATTATAACGAAGTGTTTTCATTTTCGTCCTTCGTGGTGTAATGCCATTGTAGTCCCTATACCCAAACCTGACCGGGATCATACTGATCCGTCGAATTACAGACCGATCTCTCTAACTAGCTGTGTCTGTAAAACCATAGAACGTAAGGTGAATAATAGATTAACTTGATATCTTGAAACCAATAACCTTATAACAAATATTCAATGTGGTTTCAGGAAAAATCGTAGTACCATTGATCATTTGGTACGTTTAGAATCCTTTGTTAAAAATGCTATAGTAAAAAAACAACATGCTGTATCAATTTTCTTTGATCTTGAGAAAGCTTATGATACGACCTGGAAAAATGGCATTTTGAAGGATTTACATGATTTTGGTTTGAGAGGCCGTTTGCCTCTTTTTATATCACAGTTTTTAAAAGACAGGCAATTTCAAGTCCGAGTGGGTTCAACCCTGTCTGATCATTACAATCAGGATCAGGGTGTCCCACAAGGCAGTATTTTGTCTGTCACACTGTTTAGCATCAAGATCATAGTTTATCAACGGTTTTAAATGATTCAGTTGATGGATCATTATTTGTGGATAATTTCAATATTTCTTGTCGTGGTAAAAACATGCATACTATTGAACGGCAACTGCAGTTATGCTTAAACAAGATAAATAAATGGCTTTAAATTTTCTAAATCAAAACTAATTGTCTACACTTTTGTAGAAAATATAAGCCTCATAAGGACCAGAACTATCTTTAAATGGCACACCCATCAAAGTTGTAAAGGAGGCCAAATTCTTCGGCCTAATTTTCGATTCCCATTTAACATTCCTGCCACATATTAAATCCCTTATGCTAAATGCCTGAAAGCACTCGATTTGTTAAAGGTTGTCTCCAATTCAAAGAAGAGGGGTGGGGGGTGGGTTGTCAAACTACCCTCCTTCACTTATATAGATCATTGGTGCGATCTGAACTTGATTATGGCTCCATCGTATATGGTGGAGCCTGCAAAAGCAACCTTAAACTGCTTGATTCTGTCCACCACCAAGGCCTAAGACTTTGTCTTGGGTCTTTTTGGAACTTCTCCTGTTGACAGTCTCTATGTTGAGGCTAATGAGCCATCCCTTAACCAACGACGTATCAAATTATCATTACAGTGTATAACAAAACTCTATTCTAATGAGTCGAATCCTGCATTTAACTGTGTTTTCAATCCTCTTTATGAGGATTTATACAACAAAAAGTCTTCTCTTGTTCCGCCTCTTGGGCTACGAATTAAACCATTCATTTCTGCTGCCGGCATTGAGCTGGAAAATATAGCTCCTTCCCGTCTTCTTTCTTCTCCTCCTTGGCAACTGGTGAGGCCTGAAGTTGACCTAACTCTGACAGAGTTTAAGAAATCTGAAACTAATGAATTACAATATAAACAAGAATATAATCAATTAAAAAAATAGATATAATACATACAAATCCTTGTTTACAGATGGATCCAAGGATGGTGGCGCGGTGGCATGTGCCACTGTCATTGGATCCCGAACAATATCTTCTCGACTACCAAATAACAGCTCTATTTTCACAGCAGAAGCTAACGCCATATTAACAGCTCTAAATATATTAATATACACTGTAAATATAAACAATACATAATCTTTTCCGATTCTCTGTCGTGCCTTCAAGCTATTAAAAATCTTTCTTGCAAACATCCACTTTTAATTGAAATTATTGAATTATATAATGATCTTGCTACTGGCCAATGCGACATCGTCTTTTGTTGGTTACCCAGCCACGTTGGCATTTCTGGGAACATAATGGCCGATCTTGCTGCCAAGGCAGCACACAACAAATCTGTCACACCACTTCTTATCCCATACTCTGATTACAAAGCTAGCATTAGAACTTACATCCGTGATCTAATGCAAAAGAAGTGGGACACCCAAGTAGGTATTAACAAATTACATGAAATAAAACCCTATATTGGTTGCACCTACTTGGGTTGTCAGTCCAGATTTGAAGAGGTCATCATGCGACGATGTCGCATTGGCCATACAAGGTATACTCATGAATATTTGTTGAAAGGTGATGATTCTCCTTTTTGCATCCCTTGTGATGAAAGAATCACGGTCAAGCATGTCCTGCTTGACTGTGTTGAATATTCCATCACAAGGGATATCTATTTCAAATCACGAACTATGAAGTATCTTTTTAATAATGTCAGTTCTCATTTAATTATTGCATTTTAAAAGAATTAGATTTGTTAAATGATTTGTAAATAGATACATATTTTATTATTGGTAGTTTATATTAGTAACTGAGATTGTTAGTGGCTGTACGTTAAAAGGGGGTTAAAGTATTGTAAAATTATTGTCCTCTTGAGAGGGTACGTAAGTCTCAAAATTTTCAAAGTCAATATAAACTTACCAGGATTTTACAACGTAGTATTCTTGTAATGTTAAACTTGGCTAACATTTCCTACAATCACCAGCAGATTAAGGGATGATGTAAATCCAGCTAGGGTCCATGCAGGTAGCAAAGGTACTGTAAGTCCCCATGGACCCTAGTATGATGAATTACCTTCTGTTGTTGGTGATCTATAGCCTATTTTTATATTGTGTTGTCCTCCATAGTTAAAATGTTTTAGATTTAATTACTAGTTTTACGTTTATATCTGCGATATTCTAGCTGTTTTACTGTCCTTCGTTGACAGGATTTTATACTCTATCTTTAATTAGTGTTAATATATACTTTGTTGTAGTCACGATATGGCTGAAATATTGCCAAAGTGACTTTAAATTTAAATCACTCACTCACTACTCTCTATCACGAGTAGCGTAAGGGGCGTATGCTGAGACCACTATTGAATATGTAGACATAAGGTGATCATTGCACTTCGAGTACACACATATCTTCAAGGACTTCTAATCGTGCCTTTCTAAGTTATTTGAACACTTCACACGTGATATTTCATTCTACGGCAGTGCTGCTTATACGCAATAGTGATGAAATCAAAAGCAGCATGAATCGTCGTCGCTCAATTTACTAATGTATGTTTAATATCAGCGATGACTTTGGAAACCACAGTGAGTGTATACTGGTACGGATTACACAGCTCTACCAACACTGGGTGAGGCAATGACGCTTTAATTGTCATGTTGTTGACTACATGGGGCGTAACTAGTCCCTGTGTTGTGAGTACGATGAATCAAACGACAAGCTAGCTGGCCTCACGACTGATTGAATCCAGACATGACAGATACCATATTGTTTTGCAGTTTGATTATGTTGCAAAACAAACACATCCATCTTCTGTTCTGAAAGTCAATGTTCTCGGGCGAGTTTAGGAATAAAAATCAAGTCAAAAGAATGCAAAGTCAAACAAAGACCGTTTGATTTTTGTTATATCCCTTTATCCAATCAAAGATCATATTTATGCAGATCAAAAACTTCTCTATGAAACGGTCTCAATGTTTTGCGGGTTGTTAGGTTAATTCTGATATTGACAATAAATGTGCTGTCGAATATTGTACATGCTCAACTGTGATCACGTTTATAAACACCAGTACATTTTCTATTTCACATTAGATAATTGGAAAATTGGAACTGGAAATTGCTCGTTCTTGTAAGCGTGGGTTCGAATCCCGATCATGTTCTCGGTTTATTAGCACCATATCCGCACTCATGGGTTCCACCAATGTGGCAAACATCTACGACCAGCATTATTTCAGTCCTTTGCTCCAACATCCACCTGATATCACATGATGTAACAAAGTAGCGTTTTACCAAAATCACTCATTCACTCACTCACTCACTTTAATCGCCATACACGGATTATGCTTACTTGAGGTACGTGTAAAGCAATAACGCAGCATACGCACGATAACGTTAACCCCTTTAGTTTTTCTGTAAACTAACTCCAGATTCAAGCCAATGATCCGTATTGACACTTTTCCTGTGCTTGTTTGGTTAAGATGACAAATTTTCCGTTTGCCTCGGGCATACTGATGGTTTAATGAAACTTTCCAATGTATGTGCATGAATAAATACTTCTAATTGTTTTACCCTCAATTTTCAGGTACACTTCAGATGTCATTTGCCTTCATACTTGGCAAACTGTCCTGAACATCTTTTGATATGTACCTGTACATGTATCTGTGATCAGCACGTTTTGTAACAAAATCCCAAATCCCCGTAGTGGATGTACCAGAAGCTTACAAGGTTAAAATCAAACATATTCTATGGGCAAACGAAGAAACAAACATGATCATGGACACCGGAAGCACCAATTACGCTTTGATCATAGGAGAAAAGACACGTTATTGTTTTATTTACTTTGGGCAGGAATTCGTTTGATAAAATCAATACATTCTCCTTCAACCTTTGAAGTGCATTTGTGTTTATTTTGTCAGTTCATATCCATTAACCTAGTATTTTTACGGCATTTTTACACTCTATTTCAATCTGAAATTTTAAAGTTTCCTATCTCTAAATAAACATTGGCAGTAAAGGTGTAGGCGGATACGTTTCTTTTGTTGGACCCTTCTTTTCCAAAGTACGACAATCCAAGTTGTTGCTCAAGCGGGCATAAGCACCGGTCACATGTGCACGTAGGGCATGACGTTAAAGTAAGGAAAACCGGCGACCTTGTGATAATGTTATCGCTAGCAATATATTAACTATTACAATTGTCACAATAGGTGGGTGACATGTTGAAGGTGCCCGTGACCGTATTGGCGGGTAAAACATGAGAATGGACTATACTATACTGTATTGTTTTCATGCAGATATTCAGGACTTCAATAACCCGCCTCAAATACCAGTTATTTACATTGTGGCGGATACTTCATTTCTTTGTGTGGAGATTCGTCTTCTTGATCTATATAGACGACCTAGATCTGCACCAGGCTACAAATAATCTATATCTCTCATTCATATTTTTTGTTTGTACCGTGAACGACAATGAGCATTTTCAAAAGAACAAGTAGACGGATATTTTTTTCCAGACCGTGGATTTCGTATCAAGCTATGTACAATGCATGTGTTTTCACATGCTCCTTTTCATATTTTCATTTTCTATCATTGTAAATGTCATGTCAGTTTCGCACGAGGCAATATTTATCCAATGCGGCCGAAGGTTGGTTGGTTGGTTGGTTCACGCAGCACTCATCAATCTTCCAGCTACATGGCTTCGGTCTGTAGATAATCGAGTCTGCACCAGATAATCCAGTGATCAACAACATGAGCATCGATCTACTCAACTGGGATACGATGACATGTGTCAACCACGTCAGCCAGCCTGACCACACGATCTCATAAGTCGCCTTCTATGACAAGCGTGGGTTGCTGAAGACCAATTCTAACTCGGATCTTCACGGGTAGATCGATTAGATTCAATTACTAGTTTTACATATATATCTGTGATACTCTAGTTGCTTTACTGTCCTTTGTCGGCAGGTTTTATAATCTCTATATATATTCTATTTCAATGTCAAGTGTTCTCGTCACGATATGGCTCATATATTGTCGATGTGACGTTAAATAATAACTCACTCACTCACATTTAACAGGGGCCAGATGTTGCTCTTTACGTCGAACCCGTATTATTTCGTAACTCATAATTAAGCGTTGACACATAAAGACTAATATCCCTCACTTCCAGAACTTTCAAGTAGAAATAGCGAAGAGCATTATCAAAGTTCGCCTGTTTGATGATATTTCTGATTTTTGACAGTATCAGACCTTGTACTTTTACAGTAGAAACACACCACCAGGGGTAAAAATTAAGCCACGCTATCAACAGAGTATGTTAGGAGACTAAATGTTGACAGCACCCAAGAGGCTTTTCCGAAAAAACTAATTCCATCATATAAGTAATCAGAGGCATAGCCATAAGACGTTTTGAGCTAGTAGTGTACCAATAGTATCATATAGCCCGCTTTATGGGAGGAGTTTTCTCCTTGCCCGAACGTATCTTCAGCTTATTCTGGCTACAGAAAATACCAGGCTACAGTTGTCCATCGGGACAGGAGTTTTTATTCCGGATGAGCTAACAGATTACTTACAGAGCATTTGCCTGTCTTTCCACAGGGACCCAGCTGATTAGAAGAACAAAACATGGGACGAAGTACATACCCTGTATGGTCACCTCAGCGCTCTGGGGCGTTTAAAGAGTTCATTCTATGGTTGTGATTAGGAGAGGTATATACAGATGACGAAGCTGAATATGTTGGATTACTGTCAGAAATATCGTATTACAGGCTACACACTGCTTGGATGAGCAAGCAGATCACTTACGTAGTAGTTACCTGTCTTTGCGCAAAGATCCAACTGGTCAGAAGAACATAGGCCCGACATGGGACAAAGTACATGCGCTATATGGTCACTTCAACGCTCTGGGGCGTTTAAAGAGTCCATATAGACTCTTCAAAAAAAGAAACGCAAAACCCAAATATCAATGAAAATTTGGTGTTATTCAAGGACGTGTAGATCAGCGGAATAAAGATACATGAATGAAATTTTGTGGAGCATTGCATTGCTATCTTGTCCATATTTCATGAGAATAACAGTCATCACAGTCATTACTGCTGTCCACCAGGTGGTGTTAAAGTCAGTACCTCGTATGACCACCTCCAGCTGCTACCACTGCCCGACACCTCCTGGGTACAGATCGAATCAGTCGTTGGATGTTTTGTTGTGGAATCCTTCTCCATATTCCTCCTGCAGCATGTGGAACAACTGTTGAAGATTCTGTGGTGCAATACGACGTCGACGTACCCGTCTATCGATCTGATCCCAAAGGTGTTCGATTGGGTTTAGATCCGGGGATCTGGAGGGCCAGGGGAGGGTATTGATGTTGTTATTGGCCAGGTAGTCCACGGTGGCACGTGCTGTGTGGGGCCTGGCGTTGTCCTGTTGGAAGAGCTGCCGTTGACGGTCAACAAAGTGAAGGACGTGCGGACGGAGAATCTGGTCGATGTATCAATTGGCTGTCAGATTGCCTTGGACAAGCACAAGTTCCGATCTGCGGGTGTATGAGATCTCTCCACACACCATAACACTCCCTCCACCGAATCTGTCCACCTGTCTGATGCAGTTAGGAGCAAAACGTTCATGACGTCGTCTGTAGACACGGTCTCTACCATCACGTCGCCTGTGGAGATAACGGGATTCATCGCTAAAGCATATGCGCCTCCAGTTTGCCAGGTTCCATGGCAGCACCGTGTTACACCATCTCTCTCGTCGACGTCGATGTAGTCGTGTCAAGGAGGGGGCAACGTTTGGACGTTTGGCACGTATTCCTACTTCTCGGAGACGGTTCCTGATTGTCTGATCGGACACTCTTCGGGCTCCAAACTGTTCTTGTGCTGTGTCCCGGGCGGTACGATGGCGGTCACGTAGGTGGGTTACCCGGATGTACCGATCTTGGGCAGGTGTGGTGACTCTAGGTCTTCCTGATCTTGGACGGTCATTTGTCGAATTTGTTTGACGAAATCAATCCCACAAACGAGTTATTGTGCTGGGATGAACGTTGAAGATCCTTGCCACCTCACTCTTTGATTCGCCAGCTTCCAATCGTCCAATTGCCTGATTTCGATCGGCAGCGTTGAGATCGTGGATGAAATTGTGAGATTCATTTGGGTCTTTTATAGTCACATGCTGTACTCAAGCTTTGCACGTGAGAAATAATCATTGTGCCTGATATTCGTGCTGCATGACATCCACGCACATCATGACAATCCTGATTGATAAAACCGTTCAAAATCATTTTTGGTTGCGTTTGGTCAAGCATGATCTTCTAAAACATTCCAGAAACAATGTGCAACCCTAAAAAAAGTTTTGAGTTTACATATGTGTACAAAATTGTAAGTATCATTCTTGAATTTCCTTTTGCGTTTCTTTTTTTGAAGACTGTATATAGTATGACAGTGATCATAAGAGGTATATACACATGACGAAGCTGAATGTATTAACACACTGTCAGAAATATAGCATTACATACTACACACTGCTTGCACCTTGGGAATGGTATTTACAGAAATGTTTACCTGAGCTTTCACATTTGTAATATATGTATTTGTGATATTTGAGTATTTGTGTATTACCAGGTTACATAAAATCATTAACACATCAAATATCAAGATCCTCGTTGTCTTCAGTCCTCACAACACCGACCGCTCTGGATACAATGGTTCCTTGTCAGGTGGGTGATAGTTTGCGTCCAGTCAACAACATAAGGGCATTATCTGTAGTATCAATCATAGTTAGTTAAGTGAAAGTAAATGTCGCAACTGGTGTATATTCTTTGAACCTGAGAATGATATCAGGTATCCGAGAACACTGACTGACTGACTGAGTTTGGTTTTACGCCGCTTTTAGCAATATTCCAGCAACATCA